ACGAATGCTGTGGATTGCGCATTTTTGGGTTGCGGACCGCACCAAACCCGGAAGTACCAGAATGGGTTACTTCCGGGTTTCAGTGCTCTTGCATGCAGAAGCGCAAAATGACGTCACGTGCATGCAGAGATGCAGCGCTGCAAGTTGTGAACGCTGCAGGTTGCGAACGTGCCTCCTGCACAGATCACATTCACAACCCGAGGTATGACTGTCATCAAAAAAGATTCAAGGTAGGCAGTACTGGCTCTAGGATCTGGGGACATGTTAGGTAGAGGTATCTCAGTGAAGACCATTTACCTGAAAAAGGTGAGCCATGCAGGGTAGGAATTTTCACTGTTGCTGGCCCTCTTGGATTAAATGTGAAATGTCACAATTGCAGTGGTGTTGGGGTGATTCACCCTTTGGCACTGTTGGGGCCCTGACAAATTCCAGATCTTTCTGCTGTTTGCAGCCAGACCTGAAAGGAGGCAAGATGCTATACATAACAGGAGTCACTTTTGTAGCACTGGTATTAGATAGTTTTGGATGGCAAATACCACTGGACTGCTATAGATGAAAAACAGAACATACCTTTTTGGACTAGTTTGCTTAGGAACCCAAAAACCAAATATAACAGCAATAGTCTTCTTATTTCGCTGTCTCTTCTATACTTCTTGACTAGGGGTCAGCAAACTTTTTCAGCAGGGGGCCGGTCCACTGTCCCTCAGACCTCATAGGGGGCCGGGCTATATTTTGAAGAAAAAAATGAATTCCTATGCCCCACAAATAACCCAGAGATGCATTTTAAATAAAAGGACATATTCTACTCATGTAAAAACACGCTGATTCCCAGACCGTCCAGGACCGGATTTAGAAGGCGATTGGGCCGGATCCAGTCCCTGGGACTTAGTTTGCCTACCCATGTTCTTGACCTTCTTGCTGAAGCTGGGCTTTGCAGGAGTAAAAGATAAAATTCACTAGGAACTAATAAAAGAAATGTATTCAATGATTCTAAAAATATAGTTGAAAAAGTCTTGGGGTGGGGGAGAAATGATTTGAAAATAGACCTAGTAAATTAATATGAAGTGAGCCCAATATTCTCTGCACTTTATTCAGTCTGATGTGGTGATTTCTTGAAGTTTACAAAAATATCATAGCGTTTGGTGTGCATGTGTGTCTCCTGAGAGCCAATCAATTTAAGAGTTTGGGGAATGGAAAAAGAAGGTAAATGAGCCAATGTGGAGTAGTGGCTGAGGGCCAAAACTAAACTTAACAATGTCTACTCCATTTACTCCTTTGCACAAGAAGATGGTGTAATGCAAGCCAGTGTAAGTTGATTAGGTATAAAGTAACAAAGGTGTAAAGTTCAGCCAGTTGGGCTACTGTTGCTCCACTGAGCTTGGGAAAGGGAAAAACAAGGCTTTGAAATAGTGTTCTATGCCAGGTTGCCATGTTATCTGACATAGCTGAATGGGCTTAGGATCTACTGTAGTCAAATTCCCCCTTCTCTGGTTTCACCCCCATAATGCCTCTTCTGGTGACTTACAATGGCCTCGTCTCAGCCAACTTCACCTGAGCCCCTGCTGTATCAGGACGAGCAAGTTATACTGGCATGTATTCAGCTGAGCTTGGCTTGGGACCAGGGCCGGATTTAGGTTTGATGAGGCCCTAAGTTACTGAAGGTAATAGGGCCCTTTATATGTCCAGTTGTCCTTCGTCAACAACAAATTGTTGCTGCTTTTTGTGTTGAATATATGCGACATGGTAATTTATGGACCTAATAGGTATCTAAAGCCATTTGCACATAACAAAATATGTATTTTATCAAAGTAATTGTTGAACTGAAATACAATTAAGAAGTTTATTAATATTGAAATACAATTAAGAAGAAGTACAATGGTACCTCAGGTTACATACGCTTCAGGTTACACACTCCGCTAACCCAGAAATAGTGCTTCAGGTTAAGAACTTTGCTTCAGGATAAGAACAGAAATCGGGCTCTGGCGGCACAGCAGCAGCGGGAGACCCCATTAGCAAAAGTGGTACTTCAGGTTAAGAACAGTTTCAGGTTAAGAACGGAACTCCGGAACGAATTAAGTACTTAACCTGAGGTACCACTGTATATTAATAGTGATGGTGATATTTTAGGGAGTAGGCTGGCAGGCCTACTAGGTACTTACATCATAGGAGCCTACACAACAGAAAACACTGTTGCTGTTTGTAGGTTTTAATTTATTTGTTTTTTAGCCTATATTTTGGAAATGTACATCCATTTTTTTCCCCTTTAAATTTTTTTGGGGCCCCCAAGAGAGTGGGTGTGCCTTTGCCCATTCTTTTGGAAATGTCTGTACAGGGGGAGAGGAAGGGTTAATAGGTAGACCAATAGAAAAGCCCAGAGGTGGAGCCTACCTGTTTTTAAAAGGCTTAGCCAGAGGTTTAGACAGTTGGGGGAAAGCAGCTGGGAAAGCACCTCCTACCTTCTCCCCGAAGTCTCACTTACCAGAGTCACAGTGATCACTTCCAGTAAGTGGCTCAGCCAGCAATCTTACCTACACAACCCTAAACGGTTTAGGACCTAGGTACCTAAAAGTGTGTGCCTTTCCCTACATATTCCTGCCTAGGCCCTTGCATCATCTGAGGATATTTTGGTGGTGCTATCATTGCATATTAGAAGATTTGTTTGCTTGTGCTGGTGGAGTAGATCTGTTTAGCACTACTTTAAATTTTTCCCAGAATCTGTATTAAAAATAATGTACATTTTGTATATCAAAACAAAAAGATCCTAATAAAATTTAATCAGTGGGAGGTTTAAAATCAACTGATTTGTCATTTAGATTTTGCACTCCTGCTGGAAATAAAGAGTTCCTGAATTTCTTAGTGGTATTGTTATATCTGATGAGATATCTGGAGATTGAACATGGAACCTTCTGCCTGAAAAGCAGTTCATCTACCACTGGTCAGGAATAGCACACATTGTTATTTTTCCTAAACAAGACACTCGTACTTCAGAACAATAATGGAGTACCTGTGTTCTCCCGAGGTTGCAGGATTCCAGGTCCCAGCATCCATGAACTATGATCAGTGAATGTGGTCCTATGAAAAGGGACAATGACCACAAATAGTAGAGGTCCTGTTCTACCTCCTTTCAGAGGGTCAGGTACCACCAATTATGGAAAGGATCCTGAAGAGTTTTTATTCCTTTATTTAGATTTATAAATATGCCTTTCATCACATGGAGATGAGATCATTTTAAGAGAATACCAACATAAACATCAAAACAAGTTAGCACTAATTATATCAACCAATTACCAGTGTTTTGTGTTTTGTTTTGTTTTTAAAACAATTTTAAAACATTAAAAATGCACAATAACAGTTTCAAATATAACAGGTAACATTCAAATGCCTACTGGCAACATTGCCTATCCTCCGCTGAAAACCAGAAGTAAACGGAGCATATTTAACCACCATCAGAAATCAGTGCCAGATGCATTTTCATGGAGTGGACATTCTAGAAAGGAATATGCAACCACAAAAAAGGCCCCTTCTTGCACCACTGCATCATACAATGGAATTACAAGAAGGTCTCTCCTGACAGTTTTAAAGTATTTCTTTGTGATATTGTCCTTTATATCATTGAATTTTATTTTTACTTGTAAGCCACCTTTAGAACAATTTGTATTGTTAAAAGTGAAGTATAAAGCAGTTATGAATGAATGAATGAATGAATGAATGAATGAATGGTATTTGAAGGCTTTGATGCTGCAGTTCCCAACTTCAATTCAAGTTGTTTCATAGTTAATTGCCCATTGGGGACCAGCATCTGTCCAATACACTTTGCATTACTCAGTTAGTTTTTCTGGGAGGAATTCAGATGTTCTTAAATGTCTCCTATGCTGAAACAAATTTTCTTTCTGCAGCAGGGTTGCACCTGTGAAGGTAAGAAGTGGTGGGAGGAATGAGATGGGATTTAACTGAGAGAACTTTATTCTTCTTACTTTTTAAAAATAGTTGCTGCTTTCTAGTTCAAACTACAATAATATCTGAAAAGCTTTTATTACTGTGCATTTTACACACATACACAGTATGTTCTCAAACTGTAGTGGGATGTTCCAGCAGTAAGCAGTCAAAAAGCATTCTGTGGACACTGAATATGCTTAGTCTTCACTGGGCAGTTTTACACACACACACACACACACACACACACACACACACACACACACTTCCGATTCCTTCCAATAGGTAGGTAGATAGATAGATAGATAGATAGATAGATAGATAGATAGATGTGTCCAGCCTTCCATGATGTCTTGGCAATGAAGAAGCCCCATGGATATGTTTGCCCACATTTGTGCCTCCTGCCCCACCCCCACTCACCCAAAAATGCTGAAAAAAGAAGGTTGTTGTTTTTTAAGTGGTTCCTGTAGATGAGTGAGTGAGTGAGTGAGTGAGATGGATAGACAGAGACAAAGAGTTTGGAAAACACACTGCACTATTGTGGCCCATACAATATACTGCCACCAGTATTTTAGAACACTGTTGCCATCAAAATCAGGCACCTACAATTTTGATATTTAACTGTGTCCTGAAAACGTTTTTAGAGACTTGATTGTATTTGTTATTAGTAACTCAGATCTGATTTTTTTGCTGTTTTGTTTAAATTATTTTATTCTATTATTGGAGTAAACCAGAACAATATTTTACCTATTAGCTGGAGGCTTATAAATACTTTTATAAAGGTAACAATCTAACCTCAGTCCTAATGTTCATATTGTAAATTATCTCATGCTTGCCATATCACTTACGTTTCAGGCTTTTCTCCAAGTGGTATGTATATGCTCCAAGGGATATCCACTTATTTTTACCTGGTCAACATTTTTTTGTTTAAAACAGCACAACAAATCCTCCAGTGGGGGCTGTGTGATGATAGCCTTGCATTGTTATGTATTGAGGAAAATACTAAAGTTGTGGCAGTGCTTTTTCTCAGTTAGAGAGCGCCAGAGTGCAGTTCTGGCACCTCCCAGGTACTGGTGCAACTACAGGCCAGCGCTCCTCCCTCCCAGTTTGTGCTGTTATGTACTTCTGAGAAGCCCAAAATGAACATTTCCACTAAAAACAGAAGTTGGCCCGTGTGTGCGAGTCTACGCTTCTTCTTCTTTTAGATCTATGACTCTACCTAGCTCTTAGCCACTCCTAGCCATGTTTGGTCAAGCTTTGGGGCTGCACCAATTTGTATTTCCTTTTCTTCAGTCTGTCTCCGGTGTAGCAGCTTTCCAGCCAGGCCTCTACTATTGCAAGTGTGTGCATTTGTGCAAGGGCCCTTCCAAGCTGCCCTAGCCATCTGCCCGAATCTATGAGAACAATGGAGTTGGGGGCGCATTTAATTAACCAGTGCCAGAACCAGGAGTGACCCACATACCAGCTAGGGAGAGAGCTTGCTGTAGTTTTTAGCACCTCTATGGGTAATGAATGCAGCTGTTGTCAAACCAGCATCTGTTCAGGGCTGCCCCATGTTGCACAGTGTCATGGTTAGTTCCAGCACCTATTTTTCTTTTAAAAAACACACTAAGTAGTGGTAAAATGGCTCTAGGAATTGGGGGAGAGAAGGATGAGTTATTAGTGTCATGAATGCTAACTGATAAATTCTATCTTTCCTAATTCAAATTGATAACTTGCAAAATTACTTTTCAAATGTTTTTATTGATTTTCTTCCTAAAGGTTAAATAATAATACATATACAAGAGCAAAGGAAACCATCCCATTTTCTATTTTTTCTTTCTTTTTAGAGTCCACACTGAACTTTTCGCACAGCGACTCTGTTCTCATTCTCTTAGCACAAAAAAGTATCTCCATGATGGGACAGCACAATCAGACAAATGTCAAAGAGTTTGTTTTTATGGGATTCTCCAGGGAGCGAAACGTAAATTTGTGTCTCTTTGTAGTGTTTCTCTCCGTGTACCTTGTCACCCTGACAGGCAACACACTAATCATTGTGGCTATCCGTATTGACCCACGGCTCAGCACCCCCATGTACTTTTTCCTGAGCAATTTGTCTTTCCTGGACATCTGTTATACAACTAGTGTGGTGCCCCAGCTGTTGCTCCATTCCCTGACTAGTCACAAGGTCATCTCTTTCAGTCGTTGCATGGCTCAGCTCTACATCTCTTTGTCCCTGGGTGGTATTGAGTTCATCCTGCTAGCAGCCATGGCCTATGACAGATATGTGGCTATCTGCTATCCCTTGCATTACATGACGATAATGAGCAGACGAGTGTATATTCAGATGGCAATGGCTTCTTGGATGGGCGGCTTCCTCAATGCTCTGGTGCAGACGGTATTTACCATGCACCTTCAGTTCTGTAGCTTCAACACCATCAACCATTTTGCCTGCGAACTCCTGGCTGTTATCAAAGTGGCTTGCTCCAACACTTTTGTCAATGAGATTGTGATTATAGTGGCAGGAGTCATTGTCCTGTTGATTCCCTGTGGTGTTGTGCTGCTCTCCTATGTCTATATAATCCGTGCCATCTTACGAATTCGCTCTTCAGAAGGTCGGCAGAGAGCCTTCTCTACATGTACCTCACATCTGACTGTGGTCACTCTCTGCTATGGCACAGCAATCTTTGCTTACATGAGTCCCAAAGCCAACACTTCACCCAACCAAGACAAGATGGTATCAATATTCTATGCAGTGGTTACTCCCATGCTCAACCCTATCATATACAGTCTAAGGAACAAGGAAGTAAAAGGAGCCCTATCTAAAGCAGTAAGGAAAAGTATCACCACTTAAAGACATTGACCCATTTTTGGATTGTAATAGGGTCTTAAAGTGCATAGTAGTGCTTGATTCGGGGGCTGAGGGTTGATTGCCTTATGCATTCCTATCACTAAGGCTGCAATTGTATGTACACTTATTACCAAGCAAATCTTATTCTAAACAGTGTGTCTTACTTTAGAGTAAATCTGGATAGGACTGTCGTGTTAATTATTCAGCACTTGATGATTAACAGCTGGACGTGTTGACTGAATCCACAAGAAGAGGATTGAATCCTGAATTTTTTTAAAAAATCCATAGATTCCCCCCACCTTTCCCTGCTATTATGCTCATACCATAAGTTTGGTTGGGGTGCCCCTGTGCAATGTGAGATGTGATGAGTGGAGCTGCTGAAGTGGAACTTCAGTTAACTTTCTTAAGTAAACTTATTTTAGGATTCAGGTCTTTGTGTTTTTTGGTGATATGAGTGCTCTTTGTGTGGTGTTATATCTGTCACATATCTGTCACATATATCACATATGAAGCCTATCACTTACTTTCCACTCAAGTGAGAAACTTGCAAGTTTGAACCTGATCCTTGATCCAGCCTGCTGCTTAGCCTGGACACAGATTGGGTAGTCTCTTGGTTGCCAAGCAAGCAGTGTACAGAAGCAGAAGAAGGGACTTACAAGTGGGATTGGGTGCATTGTAATTTAGCAACTCTCATGAATTCATGTGTGTCAGAGACAGGCAAGGGTCCAATTCGAGAGGAGGTTGCTAGTGTTAAAGTAGTGCCCCTACCTAACTGATCGGTTTTGGACAAACGAATTTTGAGTTGCACATTGCAGTGGCAAAAGCTTATATCCATGACCGTCAAGCCCATGTGAGGTGATGACGGTGGACCCTTGATGCACTCCCCAATCTGGAGTGCACCAAAGAAGGCCCAAGAAAAGGCTGCCTGGACAAGTTTTACTTCAAAGCTGGACCAGCATATACTGGGGAGAATACCCCATATCAGCCTTAGTGTTTCTATGGTAATTGGCTTTCTCTTGTCAGGGGTAGGCAGTGTGTGCAACGCCAGCCCACAATTAACTTCCTCACATGAAAAGTGTGACAAGGGTTGGGCCACTGGCTCCACCTCCTATTTATGCATCACAAGCGGACCAATGGGAAGCCTGCCCATTTGTGGTCTGCTCAGCTGGCCCCACCTCCAACAAGGCTCTGATAGATTAAATCAGTTCCTATTCTATTCAGTCCTGAACTGTTTGTTTGGGCCTCACTGGGGGAGAAGGGATTGCAGGTGGAAAGAGAAAAAGGAATATTAATGTATTTCCAACCATCCTAAAACTTTCTACTCTTGCACAAAAAGACTTGTGGTTTGGGACTGATTGTACACTTGTTATAAAGTGTATGTTGGGTTTTGAAGAGTGGGAAAGGAGGAAACTATATTTGTACCTTTCATCCCTCCTGGAATCACTTTGCACAGTGCAGGGATTGCACTGACGGTGTCCAGCTGCCCTAATCTACCATCCAGTAAATAGAAAAATAAAGATATTACTAAAAACTTAACATGGGTTGGAAACTAATGTACTCCAGAGACTGATGGATTCCAGTCCCCATACACTATTGCATGTTGTATAGCTGGGAATTTTGCTGAGTATACATAAATCATTGCCATGTTTCTTTTTTCCAACTATGAGGTCCACCCAAATTTTGTAACGGATGATCATCATGACAATAATATTTCACTTATTTACACTTAGTAAGCAGAAAAGGGTTGAAGAGAGATATGCAATATCCCTTCACAATCACAACACTTAGATTGGTTTTGTGGTCGCATTGTAATTTCCTCAACATGTTTTAAATATGTATTTTTCCTCATGTTGAAGAAGCATTGTTTTAAATGCCATATGCTGAGAAATCAGCATGATTGCTAAGTACTGAGGCTCTCTGGAAGTGACCTAAGTGTTGGAAGAACACATTCCATGGCATGTGACATGGTGTTGCTACCAAACAGGGCTTCCAACCTGTGTGTGTGCTTAGATACACATTTCTTTTCTTTGGAGTTGACTGCAGGAACACACTGTTGCATGTGCGATTGTCGCAAATAGTGTGAGGTGGCCTTGAACAAGTCAGGAAGGATGTAGACATAAAAAGGTGTTTTATGTGGTTCTGGGAGTTTTTATTCTTATTCTTTTATTCTTTATTCTTAATTTTACTTCCCCGCCCCCATTGGATCCTAAGAAACATTGCATTGAAACACAAAGTTGCAGATAGGGAGAGTACTGTTGTACTCAGTTTCTGCTTGAAGGCCCCCTTCTGGCTGGCCACTATGGGAGCAGGACACTGGCTAGGTGGGTCTTTGGTCTTATCCAGCAGCACTCTTACTTTGTTCTTTTTGTTGTTGTTGTTGTTGTTGTTAAGAAACACTTCAAGGCATCACTTTGGAACACAACTCCCCACACATGTACACTTAACGTAACACCATAAGAAGAGTCTACTAATGGCTAATCTTGTCCAGCAACTTGTTCTTACAGTGACCAACAAAATGCCTTTGGAAAGCCCAAAAGTGAGCCTGACTACAATAGCACTCTCCCCACAACAACTGGTATTCAGGGACATACTGCCTCCATCAGTGGGGGTAAAACAAAACCCTTGCTACTAGTAGCCATTTGTGCTTCCTGAATTTGTATAAACCTCCATTAAATCCACTTTCAGCTTTTGGGAACAATCCTCCCGAAAGCCTCTGACACAAGCCCCATTGGAACGGTACAAGTGCTTTACTACTACTGGATTGTATTATGGATATGTTCATCCAATAAGAAATTCAAATCAGCAGCAGCAGCAGCAGCCACCCCACTGACTGGGGCTGGATCACATCAAAGATGCATTTCAGTTTAAAGTGTTGTAAATTTAAAGAGGGAAAACAGAGAAAAATGGGACTCCACATTATAGGTAAAGATAAAGAACCCCTGGATGGTTAAGTCCAGTCAAAGGTGACTGTGGGGTTGCAGCGTTGATCTCACTTTAAGCTGAGGGAGCCGGCATTTGTCCACAGACAGCTTTCCGAGTCATGTGGCCAGCCTGACTAAACCACTTCTGGTGCAACGGAACACTGTGACAGAAACCAGAGTGAACTGAAATGCTGTTTACCTTCCCACCACAGCAGTACCTATTTATCTACTTGCACTGACATGCTTTCGAACTGCTAGGTTGGCAGAAGCTGGGACAGAGCAACGGGAGCTGACTCTGTCACAGGGATTTGAACTGCGGCCCTTCTAATGGGCAAGCCCAAGAGGCTTAGTGGTTTAGACCTTTATACAATGTTATATCACATATACAACACATATGAATCGCTTTTTCTTTACCAGTCTAGCTGAGTCCTGAACTGCCCCAACAAATTACAAAGCCACAGTAAAACATCACACATATAAAACTTCATCATATAGAGCTGCCTGTATATAATGGTTAAAGTATCAGGAAAGACAGATTTGGGTACCACATAAAAATGCTACCTTTAAAGATCTATTTGTTGTTCCAACACCATGCACTACTTGGTCCCAACAGTTCCTGTAAGTATCTTCTGTGACATTTATTAGCAATGGACTCATGATGGTGTCAATGAAGTGGCTTTAGACACCAAATGTACACACACACAGCCCTTCCAAAGGTGAGATTCAGTTGACTTTCCCCATGACTTTAAGCAAAGCACATTTAACATCCTTGTTCCTCAGGCTGTAAATGACAGGGTTCAGCATCGGGGAGAAAAGAATATAGAAAATGGAAGCTTTCTTCTCCTGCTCCACAGCGTGTTCAGACTGAGGCTGCAAGTAAGTGAAGCTGATGGTGGTGTAGAACAATGTGACAACAGTGAGGTGGGTAGCACAAGTGGAGAAAGCTCGTTGCCGTCCCCTTGCTGACTTGATGCTGAACACCACCCTGGCAATGTGGATGTAGGAGATCACTATAAAAGTGAAAGGCAACATGAGCACAATGACACTCAGGGCAAAGATGAGGACTTTTACTGTATAGGTGTCCATGCAAGCCAGCTGCAACACAGCAGGCTCCTCACAAAAGAAATGGTTGATTTGGTTGGGTCCACAGAAGGGAAAATTTATGGTGACAACTGTCAGTGCTGCAGCATTGAAGAAGCCTCCTAGCCAACAGGCTCCTGCCATCTGGATGCATACTTGCATCCTCATGATGGTTGGGTACCGCAGTGGCTGACATATGGCCACATAGCGATCATATGCCATGAGAGCCAGGATGAAGCACTCAGTCATCCCACAGAACAGCATCAGGATGAGCTGAGCCATGCATCTGTTGAAAGAGATATTATTGGTTCTGGAGGCCATATGGAACAGCATCTGGGGGAAGATGATTTGTGTGCCGAATATGTCTAAGAAAGAAAGGTTAGCAATGAAAAAGTACATGCCTGTATGAAGGCGGGAGTCAACCCAGACCAAGAAGATGATGAGGCTGTTGCCAAATAAAGTGATGAGATATATGACTAGGCACAGCGTCAATAGGATACGTTGTAATGTTGGGTGACTGGTGAAGCCAAGAAGAATGAATTCATTCACGGAGGTCTCATTCTGAATCCACATATCACCCAAAATACTCCACCTGCAATGATAAGTGTATCTATAACTGGTGTCCTGATTGAAATGCTATATCACTAAGCAATCACTCGAACATGTTGATGCCACCTAGCTTTAATATGATGCTGTATTGTTCACTGCACAATTTTTCTCTTTTTCTGCTCTATTTGGAGTCAGCTTGTGTGTTCTAATCATCTCTGCTATTTCTAATTGTTAAAACTGTTTTTTAAAAACAAAACACACGCACAGTGTTCCTTCATCTCACCATTAATGAAACCTCTGCTGTTGTTTAAAATTGTGCCACTTTCCTCTCTGGGTCCCTCCAATGCCACTTTACTCAAACCTTTGTCATTGTTTAAAACAGCTCTTTTTGCCCCTTTCATTATTCCTTCACCCTTGCTTTATTCAAACATCTACCGTTTTCTTTACCTCGCCTCCCTCAAGTCAGAGAGATAAAATATATGGAGTCCTCAAATATTGTGTGGTAGCTTTCCACAATTTACTTCTGATCCGGTAACATTCAACATTTTAGTGTTCAGTGTAGAAATTTAGCGGATTGATAAATTTGTGTATACTAATGAAGACTCTAGTACCAAGTACCAAGGATTTACATAATAACTGTGTTACAGTGTCGTATCGTACTGTCACAGCATTTTCTGAGACAATAGCAATGGCAACAAAATGTAAATATATATATATGGCAGTACAATTATTATGTGATTCCTTTTTTCTACATTAAATGCATAGAATCAGAATTTTATGTTGCTAATTATTAGAAGCAGTTGCTCTTAAATGAATAGGTATTTTTTACTGACTTACTGATTCATGAATTTTCACATTCACCCCTTCATGGGAAAAAAATTCACATCTGTTTCCAATCTTATTTTCTTAATTTACAAATGTTTAAAGGAAAAATATATTATTTAACATTTTAAACATGTTTGTTAAATGGTTACATCATTGGTACATTTCTAAGCAATCTCATCCCTTGTGCAGATGACTATGCAAGGCAGGCAAGTGCTATCAAACCATTCCAAAGAAAAGATCTGGCAAGTGGCTGAAGTTTAAAAAAATAACAGCTTGCCAAAAGCTACCCTCTGAATTCTTACCCCAACATAGATTTGAAATGAGGAATGCATATTGCATACAGTATTTTACATTGCCTCTTACAGTACAATTCCACACACACTCGCCTAACAGTAATCCTCATTCAACTCAATAGGAATATATTCAGAATTGAATCCCAGGCATGGGTTTGCCCTATTAAAAACTGTTGCTTCAACAAAATGCATCCACAATTATATTTGGCTCTTATATCGACTAAAAGTACCACTTTGATGCATGCACTGACCTAGTAATTCCACAAAGCATCACCTTTTTAGATTGCCTGCAAATAGTCTATTGCGTTTGAGTTGATTCAGAACTCACTCATTTGTTGATTTACAAGCTATAAGCAATAGTTTTGTGTTTTTAAAACTACCTTGCAATACATGTATATTCATTGTATCTAAAGATGCCTCCAATAACCTTTTAAATCCACAAATTGAACTTCAAGATATAAATCAAATTATGAGGGATAATGTGCAAGCACATTTGCAGATTATATAATTTTGTTTCACTACATCTTTCTCACTCTATGCAACAGGTAGCTCTTAGGGAGATTCTGCATGCTGAGCTATGTCTCTTCCTTATATGCACCAGTTATCATGGTCAGAGATGGTGGAAATTACTGTATTTTTCCATCTATAAGATGCCCGCATATATAAGACGCCCCCTATTTTGGGGGACTCAGATTTAAGAAAATGGGGGGAGACACTATCCATGTATAAGATTCCCCCTAATTTTGGACATTATTTTTAAGGAAAAAAACCTAGTCTTATACACAGAAAAATATGGTATGTTAAAAAGTATCTGAAGGACATTGTTGAAGCTTGCTTCTGTAAAGTATAAAGCCTACAGCATTTAATATATTTACTTCCTCTGGAACACCCTCCCTTTGGATGTCAGGGAGATAAAGAACTACGTAACTTTTAGAAGACATCTGAAGGCAGTCCTGTATTGAGAAGTTTTTAATGTTTGATGTTTTACTATGTTTCATATATGCTGTAAGTTGCCCAGAGTGGCTGGAAAAACACAGTCAGATGGGTGGGGTATAAATAATAAAAATTATTATTATTATTACTTAAAAGTCTTCTCTTCAGCCCTGCATAAGATACACACAAGAAATATGATTATTGCTAAGCATACTCCATGACACACAAAGTAATACCACACCTATTGCTTCACACATGTACATAGTTATGGAAAAGAAACTGATGCTTTAACCTCATAAAACTATTATTAATCATTTACTTGCTGGTTACATGAAATCCATTCCAGTTGCTATCGGTTTCAGGTGAGGCAAATCTTTTCCAAAATGGTACAGAATAATTGGCAATGATCGTATAAATTGCAATGATTGTACATAGTCTAGGGATCTCTTTTTCTTAAAAGTTAGAGGTCTGAGTCAGTGGGTGTGAGAGAAAGAGAACTGAAGCTGAAAATAGGATGGTTATGGATGCCTTCAAAGGCATCAAAATGCTCTTTGTAGGGGTACAGTTGATTAAAATATACATCCATATTGGAACTTGCAAAAACTCATCCTTTCCCTGAAGCATTTGAGACAACACAAACCCCTTCAGTTCTGAACTTGTTAACTTTTTCATTCCCTAAAGACAATGGCACAGAGACACAGTTAACTTGAGCTATTTCCTGGGTTTATTCTCAGAGTTTGCCAAAGAGAATCTGTCCCCAAGAGCCAGAAACTGGGAAAGAGAACAGCAGCAGGCTGGTTAAGGAAGGCCTGCATTGTGGGGGCAGGGAGTTGGTTGAGGAGGGTAAGGCTGCAGTCCTGGGCACACTTACTATGGAGAAGATTCTATTAAAACCAGTGTGTCTTACTTCTGAGTAAACTTGCATTGGATTGTGGTTTTCATTGTTCAGCACTTGATTATTATTTTAACTGAGTCCTCTTAAAATAAATCAAATAAAAAAAATCAAAGGCTGGAATCTTGATTTCAATTAACATAAATAAATTGATTACTACCTGCAGTTTCCTGTAACACCCCCTTGTCCAAAAGAGTACACACCAAAGTTGCAAGAGAGGTGCTACTTTGCAATATGAAAAGGGGTGTGTGTGGCCTTGATGCTGCCTTCTCCTGGCTGCTCTACTTCCAGGTAAGCAGCAGTGACACAGTTGTTTGGAGGTCATGCAAGTGTCACCATTTCTCTAGGGCAGTAGATGTGAGTGGACCCTACCTGATATTTGTTAGTTTTATTGTATCAGCATTTTCCCCAACAATTTTTTAAAAAACATCTTTATTGAAAGTTCAAAAAGTACATAATTATATGTGCATTAAACATAGTGAGACGTAAATAAAAGAGAGAGAAAAGAAACAGAACCTGCGTAGAAGGGAAAATAAAGGAGGGAGGGGGGAACCCAAAACTGTATACTTTACATGGTTGTTGCATGTCGAGGTCCCCAAGCCACCGCCAAATAAATCACAATTCACACCGAATTTTTGTTTAAGGTTTTTGGCATAATTTTGGCCACAACTTTATTAAAATGCATAAATGTGAGTGGTTGCTTAGGCATTGGTTATGACTATCAGTCCCCACCCAGGGACAGAACCGACTTCCGGATTCCAGCAAAAGCCAGTAAGGGAAAACAATATTGGGAAGAAAATGGAGCTGGGCACCAGACCCTCACCTCTCCCTACATGCTCCCAGGGGCTTGCGTGGCCCAAGCCCCACAGCAGGGATTTGGATGAAAGCATGGCAAGCCCCTGGATTCCTTTAACGGAATTCCCTTGCAGCAGCAGCATTGGAGGGGCAGGCACAGCCAATCTCTACCCCTCCATCAACCAATTTTTAACCAATGCCTAACTGCAAACTTACAAGTTGTGACGATTTTCTATGCAGTAGGCAAACAC